ACTTGTGTATATTGTACAAAATATTTTAAGCAAAATATTATTTTAGCAATTGTTTTAAATTTTAACAACATGCATGTAAATATTATTAATTTTTAATAATCTGTTAACTTTTTTAATTGGTGTGTATTGCAGAAATAAATTTTTGCGATTGTCGTTTATTAAAATTTAAATATTGCCTGTTGCAGAAATTAATTTTAACAATTTAATTGTCGTGTATTGTAAAAATTCTGGTAGAACTGTTGCGTTAAATAAAATCCCTAAAAATTTCACAACTGATACCTTTTATTAGACAACCCAGATTACACCTGATCCGATAAATTTTTTTATGAATTTAAATTAAATAAAGTCTATTTTTTATTTATTAATTAATGTACACAAAACAGACTTTATTTAAAGGGTTATTAATTAATTTCTATAAACTATTTAACATGTACATTTATTTAATACAAAATAATCTTTATTTAATGTAAATTCATAAAAAAATATTTATCGGAACAGGTGTAATCTGGGTTGTCTAGTTAAAGGTATCGGTTGGGGAATTTTTAGGGATTTTATTTAACGCAAGTTTCGCAAAAATGAATTCTTACAATACGTGACATTTGCAAAAACAGATTGTTAATAGTATATTATGTATCAAGTTTGATAAACGCCATTTTATACACGATTTGTTTGAGTGTATAGAAAAGTTTATAAACGAGGTGCATACTATACTTTTTCTACGACAAATACTTATTATTATCTTAAAATGATTTAAATCAAAAATTTGTATAGAGCGCCATCTATGAAACAACAGGGGAAACTGTCAAATGTCACATTTTTACATTTTATAAACACAATTATAAAGGTTATAAATCAAAATGTATATTGAAAATTGACAGTTTTTCACAGTGAAAGTAAAAGAAATGTTTTATGAGGACTTTACAGTAGAGTCCGTGCCCGAATTTAAGTTATAGTTTACTGCCGGCGAAATTAAAAGGTCAGTACAATGTTCATATAAACTTTTCAAATATTTGCGTTGAGAAACTATTTAATATTATATTGAGATAATAAAATAATTTTCACATTTAGTATTATTTTACAAGAAAGGCACTTTATTTTAACGATTGTATGACATTTGACAACTGTCAACTAACTTAAAACTAACTTCAGCCCGTGACTAAAGCGCCGTAAAGCCACAACTTGTCAATGTGTATTTAAAAGGTCACTTATTGTCATGGAAACATGTACGATAAAGGGCGTTTTTAAGGTGGGAGTAGAAAAAATACATTAAAATTGCAAACATTTCTGCAATACACACTAATTATAATTATGTACACATTTTTTGAAATTAATAATATTTACATGCATGTTTTTAAAATTTAAAACAAATGCAAACATAAAATTTTAAAGTATTGCTAAAAATGTTTTGCACAATATACCTACACTAGTGTTGCGATAATAATTAAAAATATACGTATGTTGTTAAAATTCAATAATCTTATATTAGCATATTGTTATTCATTGCAGTTGTAAATATTCTAAATGCCGCAATATAAGTATTAAAAGTATAAATATTTATGTTTTAATTTCGAAAACTTGGAATAAATTTTTTTATTATTATCTTTGATGTTTTTATGTTTCTTTCTTAATTGAATGTAAGGGAATAAACAATAGTTTGTATTGTCTCTATTTGGATTAAAATAGAACAGCATATTATGACAAAAAATACTATGTTTTTAGTATTTAATGATACATATTACAAGCTCTTTATGTTAGCATTTAAAATATCATAATGATTATGATTTAATAAATAAATAATACGTTACGTCATGAACGCGTTAGTTCGTAAACTCGTTGTTTATAATCTGTACACACGGTATGAATTAAAATGCTTAATTTTGTTTTATTTTAGATAATTACATGAGGAAATTACTATCGAAAAATGTTGCTTAAAATTCAAGAATAAAATTATTGAGTTAGGAAGGATGGAAGATCATCAATACAATTTTTGGAGAATTGGATGAACGGACAACACTGTCCAGTCAAAATAAAATAACTACAAAACAACATATTGGTATACAGGTTGGTATAACACACACAACAAAATGGATAGTTGGAGTAATTTAACTAAAAAGCTTAATAAGCCAGATCTGTATTTCAAGTTAACTTAAGTACTAAGAAACAATTAAAAAAGTCAATATTAACCTAATTTAAGACAGTCAGTGGATCACATTTTATAATATTAATATAAACCACATTTGGAGAAAGCTATAATCTACAACCAATAAAGTTTAATCTCATACAATCTTAACTCCATTATTTAAGCTCTTTGCTAGGTTTCGTCTTGAATTGGCTTAAACAAGTACTTGAAAAAAAACTTTAAATGGAACAAATTCTGTAAACTGTAAAGCCCCATTCAGTACCTCGTAATTAGTGAAAAAAATTAGTGGTTTCAATTATACTTATAATTAACACAAGACGATCATTCAAAATGCGCAAAATTAACATCTAAAATTAAGGGAATTTGCTAAAAGATTGTCCATTTTTCTTAACCTGACATAAACAATATTAATTATATTAAAATAATATTTTGTACAACCATTACAATAATATTTATATAACCTTACCTTCACTGGCAAATCTTTTTGCTTTTGACATAAAATATCCGCGCACATGCGCAAAGCCGCTTTCCAATTATAATTAGTGGTAAAAGTTAGAAGTTTGGAAACTTTTTCCACTAATTGAAAAGTACTACCACTAATTTTTTGGTTGCGAACAACACTGTATATTCATAAGACAAACTTTTACTTTAATTGAAACCACTAATTTATTCCACTAATTACGAGGTTTTGAATGAGGCTTAAGAAATGAAGGTTTGTTGCAAAGTTTGTCGAACTTTTTTTTAATTGATGTTATTATATTTTTTTAAGCTTATTCAACTACGTATTTATGATAAAAAGCATTCCGAACATTTTCCAACATTTCCGGCGTTACTTGTCTAATTTCCTATCGTATTCTTTGTTAAAGTTCCGCAATATCGTTAGGTTTGGCATCATAAACTTTGCTTTTAAATATCCCCATAAAAAAAGGAATGAAGTAAGATCTGGTGATCTTGCTGGCCAGTCAATTGGGCCTCTCCTTTCTGTACACCTATTCCCAGATAGCACAGAGACATCCTAAAGATATCTTAAAGATGTCGGACTCGGACGTTCATGACATCTTTAAGACGTCCAGTTTACGACGTAAGTCATCTTTAAGACGTCTTTAAGATATCTAATGTTACAAAACACACCGTCTTTAAGATGTCTTTTTAACGGCATTATTAAGTCGTGGCTAAACGTCGTTAAGACGTCTTTAAGATGTTAAAGACTACCTATTGAAAACGTTTTGGTTATGCATTGCTACATCGCCAAAACGTTTCTAATGTATTAACTTAACACTATTAAGTAATTAAAATGTAGCTAATAATGCTTTTTAACTTCTAAAAATAACGTACTTATAGGTACTTCTATTTAAAATAAAACAAAAATTAAATTATTACATATTTATTTCTGCCTAAATCAAGTCAAAACTTCTTGGCAAGAAGAAGTCTTCTGTCTGAAGCCAAGCTCAAGCTCAACAATTTTTTTATGATTATAAATATTTGCCAATATGGAATACACCTGACTGCTTGAACTCTTAGATAGGGGTAAGCCATCAATATTTATATTGAGAGCTATGAAATGGTTCAATTTTTGAATTGTCTTTGTGTCAAAACTCCTTAAAATACTAAGGATACAATTACTTAATCCAAAATGACAATATTGCCCCGGTGTAACTGGTATAACTTCAACATAGCGACAAGTGTAAAGTAAAGTTCTAGCATCAGTAGGCAACACTTGCTCAGCAAAATTTAAAGGTAAAATTTTTAATAAATCATTTATCGCAAAATGAGTTATTTTATGCTTTACTGCCCACTTTGCCAAGTAATTTTCAAATCTGATTTCACTTTGTTGTGTTCTTACTCTCATTTGAGGTACTTCCTCGGGTACTTCTTCCAAGCTTATGTCTAGAGGTTCTTTCGAGGTTCCTTCGATATTTGGAATAGAAATGTTGGAAGAATCCTGCTCAACTCGCTGCTCAACATCAGACGGCGAGTGCTAGTGAGGGTCTTTTTAAATTGGCTGCCCTCTTTGCACGCATATAATACCTATTTATTGAGAGATGAACGCTTCATCTTAAGCACACAAGAAAAATTTTTAAAATTACCTGAATAATTTTCCCTCTTGAGTTTATTAAACCACAGCAAATTCACAAAAACAATCCAAAAACAGTGTTGTTACAACACTGCACACTGCTTTTACTTGTCACTTAAGTTTAAACGTCGAACGAGAACGAAAAACCGCCACGATTAGCTATTTAACCAAATTTGACGTAAGCGGCAAAAATGGCGTCTGATGTCTGCAATCTGCATTTATAGTTAGGTACAAGGCTCGTACTACGAGCACAATCCACATTGGATTGTGGGTACGAGAATTGAAAAGAGGCAGACATATCAGCGCTTGGTGAAATAGAAAAGGAAAGCATAAGGATCTCATGGCGTGACTTATGATTTCATTGCATTATGGGAAATGTGCGGGTAATTTGATTTAAAAACGTTTGCTGGGTTATTTTAAGGTTATTTTGTCTTAATACTTAATTTTTAAAAAACATGTTAGTTTATAATGGTTTATTATAAATAGATATTATTAATTGTAGAAAAAATAACCAATCTACAAAAATGTCAGATATATATTTATTCAGTTACCCTACCCATCATCGTTGTCAAAACTCAAAATTCTACATTATAGTTATTTCTATTACAATGAAGTCGCTGATTATGGGATATAATTTCGATTTTGATTTTTCAACATTTACTATTTTATCAAAAAAAAAAAAAACCGCGGTATCAGGCATTTATAAGATGTCTTGAGAACATTAAATAAAGATATCTTTAAGACGTTTATGAAAAGACGTCTTTCAGACGTCTTTTTTAGATCTTCAAGACTTTGTTTGCTGTCTTAAGTGGTTAATATTTTACCAAAATAATGAAAAAAAAATAAGCGGCGTTATCAGGCGTTTATAAGATGTCTTTAGGACATTAAATGAAGATATCCTTAAGACGTCTATCAAAAGACATCTTTTAGACGTCTTTTTTAGATCTTCAGACGTTCAGGCATAATACAGACATACAAAAGACATCTTCAAGACGTTGTGTGCTATCTGGGTTGTGGAACACTTGGTTAAGGTAAATCCGCACAATTTGGGCAAAATTGTTGTTTATTTTTTTCCCGACTCGCTGAGTAAAGTAGCAACAGCAGTAGGGCATTTTCCCATGTTAAATCCCGTAGGAAAATCTAGGGTCCAAAATTCCACCGTGGCGGGAAATTTAAAATCAAAATTTAAAAACCTAATACCAGTAGGAATATATTGTATAATTTTTCAGGAGTATATAGACTAGACTGGGCCAAAAAAATCGACTATTTTTTTTTTGTAAAGTATAGGTATCGAAAATATTGTTTGGGGTCACAAAAAAAAAATATGGTGAAAGTTTGAGTCCATAATATTAGTATTAAGAGGTCTATCTTCGCAATTTTAGATTTTTTTTTCCTGTGCGAGTTTTTATCTCAGAACTCCCAAATCATTGAGTTTAACAAAATTGACTTGAGAATATTTTTTGAAGAAAAAAAGGTTTGATTGGAATTTGCCGTCAGATGAACCGTTTTCTTACAATCATGCCTTAAAAATTGGTATAGTTTTACAATTTGATCTTTTAACTTTGGAATTTTGTAATTAATGTAAAAATCAGTACCCTGAAAAAAATCCGATAAATATTCTAATGGGAAATCAAATGCTCTACAAAAAAAGTCTTCTATCATTTTTGGATAAATTCACTCCATCAAAAGTTATTCAAGGTTAAATTTGAAGTCAAAACGAAATTTTAACCTTGAATAACTTTTGATTGAGTGAATTTAGCCAAAAATGTTGGGTTTTTTTTTTGTAAAGCATTTGATTTCCCATAAGAATATTTATCGGTTTTTTATGGGTACTGATTTTTACATGAATTACAAAATTCCAATTTAAAAGATTAAAATGTAAAACTATACCAATTTTTAAGGCATGATTTTAAGGAAACGGTTCATCTGACGGAAAATTTGACTTTAACCTTTTTTGTAGAGCATTGAATTTTCTTAAAAAAAATATTTTCGACTCAATGGTTTGGGAGTTCTGAGACAAAAACTTGCTGAGGAAAATTAAAATTGCGATGATGGACCTCTTAATATTAATATTATGGACTTCTTAATATTAATATTATGAACTTTCACAATATTTTTTTTTGTCACCCCAAACCATATTTTCGATATACTTAAAAAAAAAATAGTTTTTTTGGCCCAGTCTAATATAGACGCCCTATATATTTGCTTGGGATACACGTGGTACATAATTTGCGGTTAGCGATAAAAATGAATGATTTTAACGAGCCAGCAAACTGAATATTATTTAAAAAAATATTGCCTGCAATTTCTTTTATACAAATTTAGTAAATATTTAAATCTAGCTTTTATTAATAACATAAATAAATTTAAGGTTTAGATATTGTTATATGCAACGATAAATGCAAATAAAATACATTTTAAAGTAATTCCTATATGTTTAAAAAAGATAAAAGCTAAATTTAAATATTTAAAAAAATTGTATAAAAGAATTCAAAGGAATCTTTTGTGAAACAAAACTGATATGTAAGAGAAAAGCACAATGCCATGTAATGGATTAATAGAAATTATAAATTTTAATTAAAATAAAAATTATCACTAAAGCCCGGATTAAAAAGCTTAAAAAAACCTGAAATAAGCGCTTAAAAAGCAGTTAATTTTTTTGAAAAAAGGCATAAAATAAGCTTAAAAATCAATAAAATGCATAAAAAAAATTAAACAAATTTATTCTTTATTAACATTTTAAATGTAAATAATTTTTATACCTACGTTAAACATAAAAATAAGCATTAAAAAAATTAAAATATAAATAAAATAAACAAATTTTTTTTATAACAAAATAAAATATAAAAGTATATCCAAACATTAGTTTCTGTAGAAAGAAGCAATAACTAAATGCTGATTTAAATTTTCGGTTGTAAAGCTTTGTCTTCTATCACTTAAAATGTTTTTGTAAGCTGAAAAACTTCTCTCCACGTCAACACTTGTTATAGGCGCATGCTTAAATTTTGCCATAAGTGCTGGATGCATTTTTAAGTCTGAAACAATACTTCCTTCCAAAACCATAGCTATTGTTTTTAATTTTTGAAAGCCTTCATTTTTAGACAAGACATCCTTAAGCTTATTTTTTAATATTTGACCGGTTGGTCCAGGAATATTGTCAATGGCATCTTCGAAATTGTTAATAGTTTTGATAGATGAAACCAGTAACATTTGTTGTTTCTCAAGGAGCTTTATTGTCTTACTCACAAAACTTAGGTTACTTTTAATAAAGGCTAAGTTATTTTTTAATTCTTTTTCAATTAAAACTACTTGACAGTCTTTAATTGACTTACTTGCTGCCTCAGGCAGTTCAAATATAATTTTTTTGAAATTTTCAAAATTATCTGCATAATATAATGCAGCATCTAACCAAGTTCCCCATCTCGTCAAAACTGGTTCAGGTGGTAGTGGAGTATTAGGTAGTTGTTCTTTAAAGAGTTGCACCCGCAAAGGAGCCTTAATGAAAACTTTTTTACCATTTTTTATAAGTTCATTAACAAGAGGAAATTGTTGTCTTATGGTTTCAGCGACTCTATTTAACCCATGAGCTAGGCAAGTACAATGAATTAGATTGCCATAAAACACTTTTAAATTTGAGGCGGTTTTTACCATATAAGCTGCAGCGTCCGATAGCATAAGTAAAATTTTGTCACTGGGGACTGATTCTGGTAAGTAAAAGTTTATTAGTGCTTCATTTATAAATCTCGAAACTGTGTTGTTATTTGTGGCATCCAGTTCCTTGGAACAGATTAAATATCCCGTGGTTGGAACGTCTTCATTAAGAACTCCTATGATTAGATTTGCAATATATCTTCCACAAACATCAGTGGTTTCGTCAACTGTAAACCAAATATAGTTACTTCCAATTAATTCTTTGATTTCATGGATGGTTTCGTTGTATACTAAGCTGACATAATTTTTTCGAAGTGTGCTTTCTTCTGGTATATGCAGCTTACAGTATTTTTCCAAAAAGGTTTTAAAGTTAGTGTTTTTCAACTTATTTAAGGGTATATTGGATTGAACCATGGCTTTACATAAGTCAAAATAAAATTCCCTTTGTTCATTCTGTCCAGTAGATGCTAACGATTCTCCAATTGTCGATTGTTTAGACTTATTTGTAAATTTTTTCAAACACTCCTTATGCAGGGTTGTCTTAAGATGCTGTATTATATTATATTTTTTTTCACATTGTATCTGAAATTAAGTAAGATAGAGATATTTTTAATTACTTAATACAAAAATAATATTAAAATCATAAAAAAGCAGTAGCCTTCCCAATGTTTTTTAATATTTAGTTGGGAAGCCCCAGTGCTGCCTAAATTAAATCTAGTTACATTTAATTAAGCCCTTTACCAATTACTAAAAACCTGAAAAATTTTAAAAAAATTGACCAGGTAGGTAGTTTAAAAAAGTATGTTTTTAAATACCTCAGAAACTACTAGTTTCTGAGATATTTAAAAACATATTTTTTTGTTGACTTTAACACCCTGTATGTTCTTATCAAAGAAATTATCTTTATTAAAAAGAGAACTTGGTACAGTTTATTTCTGAGCTCAAACTTTACCTATATCGAAAATTGCTTTGTTTATTGGTTTTACAAACCTTGAGGTACATATATGGTCTTATTTTGTACACGCTTTATCAGGGTATAGTATAAAATTTTTCTTACCATTTTTACACATGCCCGGCAAAACAATTTACCACTTTGATAATTTAATTCCTTGTAATCTCTAATCCACTCGTCTACGGTAGGCTTTCTTTTTGGCATTTTTAATTAAAACCACCACAAACAATAAACAGTCGACTGGTTCAGTCTATTGACTCAATAGTATCCTTTTTCTATGGTATTAAGTGCTATTCTGTAATTTACATATAACAAATATGGTAGTTTATGTTGCAATGACAAGAAATTTAAAACATTTCTCTTCTTCTTCTTCTTGGTGGCCCAAAGGCGCAAAAGTGCGATACAAATTTTATTAACTAAATTAAGTCTTTAACTCATAGATGCCGCCACTGAAAAATTAAACCTACTTATAATTAAAACCTAAATATATATATTTTGGTTTATTAATTAATACCTAATTATACATTAAAATCTGAGTATTTACTATATAATATATTATGAAAACAAATATTATATTCAAAAAAAGTTTAAATAAGCATAAAAATTTAAATATGCATTAACATTTAAAAAAAGCAAAAAAAGCATAATAAATTAATGCTCTATTAATTTTTTTTATATAATTTATTTATTTGTTTAATTTACGTATATTTGCTTGTAATTTAAACGATAAGCATAATGCCTTAAAATCCGGGCTTTAATTATCACACCATAAAAAAATACAGATGTGGTGTGGCATGAGCAGCGAATAATGATCTCATTTACGTAATATTGCGCATTATCTCGTAAATTAGACCAAAAAAATACGGATAGAAATATTTTATTTGCACCAATATTATAATGGTGTTAAATGTTTTACAAAAGCTATCCCGAAATTTCATGTTGTGGTTTTATTCAGCCCGTTTTATCTTTTGCTTTTTTGTTTTAATTAATATATACAGGGTAAATAAAAAATATATCGTATCTAATTTTGTTATGCTACTATTGGTTAAATAAAATTAATATTCAACTAGATTATTGATATTTATTCGTAACTACAGAAAACATGGGAAGGTTGTAACATTCTTGTGTCGGGAGGGGGTAGGTGGAGGGTTTAAATCATAAAAATATTATTGAAATTATATTTATTAAAACAACGTACAAAATAATACATCTTAACTTATATCTAAACCTAATATACATTACTATGTTTTTAATTTTATATTATAATGCCCCATCTGTTCCACATAATCATCAAATGTAATCTCCGTTTTGATAACAGATGATTTAACCCCATTTGCCTTCTTGCTAACGCCAAAATTTGTCATAATTCCATCAACCTCATTATCGTCATGCCCATCTTTATATAGCATCCTCCTTTTTCTCTTAATATCGGGGTCAGATGTTAACACTTTATATTTTATTTATAATATATATAATTTTAATTGAGGTAGTCATCCCTAAAATAAATATTTAGCAGTGAACAATAAAATTCTATACTACTTGCGGATCATTAACCATGACCACCCCCTCCATAGTGGAAATTCTATAAAATGAAAACATGATTTTACTAAAAGGCTTTTTTTTTCATTTACAGAGTAAGTATGCTTTATTGTATACTTACTACGTGGTAGGTTCACTGTAAAAATATTATAATTAGTATTTAAATTTTTAATTGAATTACTCACGTACGCATTTGGTCTAATCAAACACCCTATAAACGTTTAAAGTTTAAATTCACCCTTCTTTTTATACTTACATTTATTTTTTAGAATTATTACTGGCTGGTCTTCCCAACTAACGCCCTCTAGTACGTAGCTGATTTCTTAAATTTTTTAGTGAAATCTTCCCTAAAATATTAATTATTTAAATTTGTAGTGGACAGGTCGTGCAGTCGTAAAACACAAACTTCTCTATCTAATTATTTATTTTCTAAGGAAAACTACAAAACAGCGCGAAAACCAAACATGACGCCGTACTGTCAAAAACATTGGTTAACAACTTCAGGATATTACAAAGCTACGTGTTGGTAGGCAACACAATATGCGTTGATGTGTACTTTGTTACAAATTATATTATTATCGTAACGTGAACCAAGTCCTAAATTTTGAGATTATTGTTATAGCCGGCTACATACATAAATCTAACACATAATATCTCCATATCTTACGCTGTACAAGTATGTGCCATATAATATGATCCATATCTACAAACTTCATTTTATATTTTGACGTATGTTGCGCTACTTACATTTTTATTAGCACAGTTTATCAATAATTATTATTGATGGATTTATATAAAAAAATGACATTGGACAATTAAAACGATGTCAAAGTACAGTTAAATAATTTTAAGCATGTAGGGGCGGGAGTAAAAACTAAACGTAGTGACGGGTTAAATGGTAGATTGTAATACCGATGTTTAAGTCGCGAGTTAGAACAGGAATTATAATAAATATTTTACATCTAGATCCCTTTGGGTTTTTAAATGATGCATTTTTGTTATGCTACTAATTCTATTAAATCCACTTAAATCCATTATATATAAATTCCTCCAAACATCTCCCTCTTTTGCACGTACTTCAATATTCGGATACCAATCATCTAAAACATCATTATATGCATCATCTAATAGCATAGGATTATTAATGAGGGTTTCAAATTTTGTTTCCAACCAGTCCAATTCCCGATCTAATAAATCAAACAAATCTTCATAGGTTGAGAGTGTTTGGTTTGTCATTACGTTAAATTTCTAAATTTCTAAAAAAAATTATAAATATAATAAAAAATTAACTTACTTTATCTGCTAACAACAATATAATTGTAATGCATTTTACATGCATAATTTTCTTCATATAATTGAAATGACGTTACAATTCAAAATGGCGTCAAAAATGAAATTTATATTAATTTCATTTTATTAAATTTTTATTCAGCTTGCTGGCTCGTTAGAATCATTAATTTTTATCGCTAACCGCAAATTATTTACCGAGTGTATCCCGAGCAAATACTTAAGCGTAATAGGGTGAGGCCTTGAAATGGGTGAAAAAATCGGAATTTTTGGACCTTGGATTTTTCTTATGGGATTTAACATAGGAAAATTCCCGAAATTGGGGTAGAACTCCTGTTGCTACCTTACTTCACTGTTAAAAAAAAAGTTAAAGTTAAATTTGTGTTTTTAATAGAATACCTAAAGTCCATGTCTGACGGTGCAACTTCTCGCGGCGACTTTGCGATTTTTTGGTGGTCACACGATGCAACTAATCAGCTGATCCAACCTGTCCTAAAATAGAACATGTTCTATTTTCATGCAATAAAACCTTTATTTCCTAAGTTACTGAATTTGTTCCAGTTAAAGTTTTCACTCTGTATATATTTTGACTTAAGTGTTCCTGTTATGTCCAAAATTTCTGCACCTATATTTATTTATTTCGTGAAAAAATTGTAAACAATTCAATAACAGTATTTGATCTGCCTATAATTAACTAGATTTTTTTAACCCATTAGCTTTCCAAATCCCTACTAGGAATCCATAATGTATCCATAATGACCTATTCGGCAATTTGTAGATTTCGTTCAAATATTTTTATACTAAAAATAGTTTGTGTAAAAGCCCATTTTCTTTTAACCCATTACATTATATATTGGCAAAATTCCATGCTTTGTTTATAAATTAAAGGTGCTTAAACATGAACTTACAACTTTTACAGTTGCGTCAAAAACGTATAGACGTTCTTAAAAGTTCTTGTGATATTTAAAGCCCTTACAACTCTTGCTTTTTGTCATATATTTCAGAAGTTAACCACATAGGTACCTCTCTTTTTCCTCGTTTGTTTTTAGGTGTTTCTTGAGACGCTGCTGGTGAAGAAATGTCTTGCCTGTATAGCTAAAAAAAATACGCTACCTCGAACACCAGGTAAATTGTCAGTTATACTGGGTGTCAGTGTTAAAACATACCATGTTTAATATTAAGCTTTTCAACGAAATATGGAAACATCAACTTCTACAGGATGTACAAAAAAGGTTTTTGCTATTTAAATAAATCATAACTTATTAAGTATAAAAAGTTCGTTAATAAATTAAGGGGTGCTTAAACATGAACTTAAAACTTTTAAAGTTGCGTCAAAAATGTATAGACGTTTTCAAAAGTTCTTGTGATATTTAAAGCCCTTACAACTCTTGTTTTTGACATACAATTTCTCTTTTTCTTCGTTTGTTATGAGTTGTTTCTTGAGACGCTCTTTAACGAAATATGGAAGGATTAACAAAAAAGGTTTTTGCAATTTAAAGAAATCATAAGTCATTAGGTATTACATTTTCATTTTTAAAATTAACTACAAACTATGGAAGCTTATTTGTAAAAGATTATACCGTCGAGGCGCTGTTCTTCTCTACCGTCATCTCCAAACGACCCTTGAGATCAGAGCTTTCGTGGAATTTTTCGAAGTTGTTTTAAATTATTTTTTCTAATTTTTTCTTAACTAAGCTTTTACTATTTTTGAGCGAAGAAAGGTTCTGGTGCATCAAGTAATGGCTGATCCAAAAAGAAGCTCAAATGCTATTTTACGATTTGATGATGCAGTTGAGTAGGACTTTATTTGATCGGAAATACCGATTTGTGTACTATATCAGGATCGTCCAGAAATAGTTAAAATAATCTTATTTTTTTCAAGACTCGCTTAATTATTGCAGGGAATGTTGTGTAAGTTTGTTTATAAATTAAAGGTGCTTAAACATGAACTTAAAAACTTTTACAGTTGCGTCAAATATGTAAAGACGTTCTTAAAAGTTCTTGTGATATTTAAAGCCCTTACAGCTCTTACGTTTTCTATGCAGTGTAGAGTTATGTACACGTCTAGTCAAATGGTAAAATTAACATGGAATTAGAGGAGCAAACCAGAACCAAAAAAAGGATTGAAGATATTGAAGCTAAATAGAATACGCTACCTCGAACACCAGGCAAATTGTCAGTTATACTGGGTTTCATTGTAAAAACATACCATGCTTAACATTCTGCTCTTCAACGAAATATGGAAACATCAACTTCTACAGAATGTAGAAAAAAGGTTTTTGTCATTTAAATAAATCATTACTTATTAAGTTTCAAATTTTTATTTTTAAAATTAACTACAAACTATGGAAGTTTATTTGTAAAATATTATACCGTCGAGGTGCTGTCCTTCTCTACCGTCATCTCCAAACGACCCCTGATTTCTCGAAGTTGTTTTAAAATATTTTTTTTAGTAACTAAGCTTTTACCGTTTTTTAAGCGTAAATAGGTTCCGGTGCATTAAGTAAAGGCTGACCAGTGCTGACCCAAAAAGAACAACAAATGCTATTTTACGATACGAAGATGCAGTAGTACTTTATTTGGTTGGAAATGCCGATTGTTTTTTACAACGATTAGCTCAGGATCGTCCAGAAATAGTTTAAAATTTTTTTTATTGAAAGACAGCAAGTCTCGCTTAATTGTTGCAGGATATGTTGTGTACGTTCGTTTACAAATTATAGGTGCCTAAACATGAACTTAAAAACTTTTACAGTTGCGTCAAAAATGTAAAGACGTTCTTTAAAGTTCTTGTGATATTTAAAGCCCTTATAACTCTTGTTTTTTGATAAACAATTCATAAGTTTACCACAAATACCTCTCCCTTCTTCCTCCTTTGTTCTGAGGTGTTTATTGCGACGCTTTTTAACGAAATATGGACTCCTACAGGATGTACAAAGAGGGTTTTTGCAACTTTTCATCATAACTCATTAGTTATTTTTTTTTTTTTATTAACTACAAACTATGGAAGTATATTTGTAAAGGATTATACCGTCGAGGTGCTGTTCTTCTCTACCGTCATCTCCAAACAACCCCTGAGATCAGAACTTTTGTGGAATTTCTCGAAGTTGTCTTAAATTATTTTCTCTTAAGTAACTAAGCTTTTACTATTTTTCCATGTGCAGACATTGCTTACCCAAAAAGAAGCTCAAATGCTATTTTACGATACAATAATGCGGTTGAATGGGATTTTATTTGATCGGAAATATCGATTGGTTTTTTCAAAGTTTAGCTCAGGATCGTCCAGAAATATTTAAAAGACTCGCTCATTATTGCAGGGAATATTGTATTTATAAATTAAAGGTGTTTAAACATGAACTTAACATAAAAAGTTACGTTAAAAAACGTATAGTCGTTTTTAAAAGTTCTTGTACTATTTGAAGCCCTAAAAACTCTTGCTTTTTTTGCCCAACAGTTCATGTTGTAGCTTTTTTCCGGGTTGAAGGAGAAGTTGTTGAATCTGGTTCCGCATCGGATCCACAGGCGAACTAATTGAAAAAATACTCCATATTTTCGCCCGCATCCACCATTTGTTCTTCGGCAAGTCTAGTATTTCCTGACTCCAATTTGATCACTTCGTAACCAGACGGTACGTCTGCGTGCCAGTAAGAGCACTGCAATCTGTGAGTCCAAGTATACTTCTTAATGCTTTTTCGGGATCCGGGCGTATCTGCACTTGTCGCAATATGTGCAGTCGTGGAGGTGATCTCGGTGCCAGAACCAGAATTCGATATTCGCCATGCATCTGATAGCAAAACTTATTCCAACATGGTTAGCGCATTGTCTGGAATCTTAAAAGTGTGCAATTTTGTAAAGGATTCGGCGCTTTTTAACAACTCGATAAATCTCTCGAACACAATTGGTGAATCCAGTGGTACCTTTTGGGACCTTATTGAATTCATAATCTTCTTCGACTTAGTTGGATAAAGAATCCATAGTTTTTTCATGCCAGTTCTTTCCGGTCTAGTTGACGTAAAACTACATGAAGTAGAAGGATGTTGCTCTTCTCCGTCCAACTGTATCAAACTACTAAGCTTGGAAAAAGGAGAAATCTTCGATATATATATTACCAAGAAAACTCGGAAGGAATATACATTACACCAACAAAATTAATGTCCACAGAAGCTTTTGCCATTCCCCCGCCTTTAGTCTAAAGTACTAATTACTAATTCCTTAAGGGATGAATTACTGCGGATAATGAACTCAGAATACCGTTACGGTTAAAAATACTGCAAAAGTAAATGATATCGTAAAACTTGGGGAAAGGGGAAATCTTACAATATATATATTGTAAAAATGTTTAGCAGAAATAATTTGTATCTTTTAAATTGGCATCTGGAACCTCTGGATCTGCCAAACAGTCTGATGTCTACGGTTTGCTTTGAAGAAAAAATTCATGGACAACGATATTCAGACGGGTATGTGAATTTCAATGAGATTAATAACATTTTAATGGAATTATTAACTGAATGTACACAAAAAAATGAAATCAAAATTATGAATATTTAAAAACCGTCCGCGATCAGTTGTAAGTTTAAGATTATTGAATTTTTATATTTATAGTCTATCAGTCACTTATTTTAATAACATGTGCTGTACATGTCGTGCACAAGTGCTGTGTGTATCGGGAGAATGATACGACGGATAGGGCTGTTTAAACATGGTAAATACATATCAAACAATATTCAAAGAACTAAGGAGCACGGTATGGTTACCAGAAAGGAAGAAAAACTATACAAGCCAAACTCCCAAGAAAACTCGGAAGAAATTTACATAACGCCAGAAGCTTTTGTCTAAAGTACTAAGGGTGAAATACGGTGGATAAAGAACTCAGAATACCGTTACGGTTAAAAATACTGCATAAGTAAATGATATCGTAAAACTTGGAGAAAGTGGTTATCGCAATAACTTATTTATTATTTTTATATGCTTCTAAGGGCCAACGGTGCGAAAATGTATTTGTTATTTACACTTTAAATGAGGAAAAAATTAAATATTTTACATGTCGAATGGGTGTTTTTCGGGGCCGCGATACTTGGACTTGGACATCATTCATAACAATCAAACACTGATTTTCGACAATTAGTACATTTAATTACGAATATCTAACTAGACAAAACGATATACGCTAAAGATTATACGCACAAAGTAAATTAAAGTATGAAACTAACGATTGTAACGAATCCGCGGTCTCCGGGTTTACACACGTCTTTACTGTCTTATTGCCCGATTAAGAATGGCCATCCAACCCCCCCGAGGGTTGGTACATATCCACCTTTTTGGATCTTTATCTCTACGTTCCCACGAGACCGTGGCTACGTATGGTGATCGTTAGTCATCACCTTCACTAATGCATCCTTATCGGACTGCAGACATAATAACTGTTCCTCTAAAATCTATTTCTTAAGTCTTATTTATGATAAACAGCATTGCTTATTTTACCAAATTGTTATTTATAAACATGCTATACAAATTAATGTCTATTCTCCGACACGGTCATCCTGACCATCACACGTCCTCGGGTGCAATTGCAATATTTGGATTTAAGGTTTTAATACCACTCTTACAATTTACACAACTAACAATGCTCTTAGTTTAAAAGTCCATTTCGATAACAAAAAAAATTCACTCAAATACATACTAGGCCCCCGCTACATCACCAGCTGCCCATCACGCCCTGATCAAACCACTTTAGGCTTGCAGTTGCGACTACAGCCTGGCGCATGTAGCACTATTCTCGGTGTCTCTTGCAACACCTTTAGCTGCGATGTCTCTTTCAACACCTTGAGCTACGGTGTCTCTTGCAACACCTTCAGCTACGGTGTCTCTTTCAACACCTTGAGCTACGGTGTCTCTTGCAACACCTTTAGCTGCGATGTCTCTTTCAACACCTTGAGCTACGGTGTCTCTTGCAACACCTTCAGCTACGGTGTCTATTTCAACACCTTGAGCTACGGTGTCTCTTTCAACACCTTTAGCTGCGATGTCTCTTTCAACACCTTGAGCTACGGTGTCTCTTTCAACACCTTTAGCTGCGATGTCTCTTTCAACACCTTGAGCTACGGTGTCTCTTTCAACACCTTTAGCTGCGATGTCTCTTTCAACACCTTGAGCTACGGTGTCTCTTTCAACACCTTTAGCTGCGATGTCTCTTTCAACACCTTGAGCTACGGTGTCTCTTTCAACACCTTTAGCTGCGATGTCTCTTTCAACACCTTGAGCTACGGTGTCTCTTTCAACACTCGTCTTCAGCCTATACTATTCGAATGGAATGTATACGTCTGCCACTGTCTTCACCTTATTTACCATATTATAAGGCACAGTTCTGAATTGTTTTACATTCAGAATGGGAGGCGAATTGTTGATAAGCGTATTCGCCGTTTCTCCCCAGGCGACGGGAACGTTCGCATACTCGTCGAAGTTGTATATCGCCCAGCCGTTCAGGTCTTCTTCAGACACGCAGCACTCATGTCGATACACATAAGCTTGGGCTGCTACTACTATTGACCCTTGAACATTTGGCTGATACGTAGCGATAACAGGGTTGCGAAGTTCATAGGCAACAAATCGTTCGGGAGGCCGTGGCATAGTGATGGTCACGCATTGCCCTTGTGAACCAAAAGCACTATCCGTGAGTGGCACTCCTTTAAATTTGGCGTGGTCTAGCTCAGTTTGGATTGCTCTCAGCAAATCCAGCCACAGTGGGATGTCATCATTGTCAGCTTCGAACCGCCCTTGTGCATTCAGACCCGCTTCTTGTAGTACAGCGATTTGGTCTCGGGACAGGTTCACGCTCTGGTTATACCCTAGGAGATTGGGCGTGGGTAAGCCGGCGTTCCAGTCAGCGTCCGGTCTTATACCATCGGGAAGATCCCAATCTCTGGCGTCTTGATGGACATTAAAGCCGTAATCTCGTATAATTCGTTCGGCGAATACCGCAAGACAGGGATACTCCATGTACATGAAGTGATTATCTTGGTCAATTTGACCGAACCAGCCACCGTGCATGTGGTTGGGACCAGGCACGTATTCAAGGCGTCGGAATGAGCACTTATATTCTCGACCGCTCTCGGATGTAATGTTGCCAAAACCAGATAGGTATGTCGAAATCAGTTGGGCGAGGGATCCATGTAGTCCGTAGACACTGTCCATGTAGCTACGTTCGTTAAAGGTAAGCACAATGCCATTCTTATCCTTTATCTTATACATGCGCGCTAGGGCATGACAAGCGACGTAATATGCTAACATGGATTCAGAGATACGTCGAGCGTATCCAGGATCCAGGGCCTTAAAAGTCTCGTGCAATTGACGAGTAAGGCCGGGAATACCTTTGAAGCTTGGAAAGTTTTTAAGCGTATCCGCTAATGGTCTTCCCTCTTGCCCGGGCTCAGGCATCAAAGCTTCATGATATATGGGGTCGTTCTTCGGGGTGGAACTAGCTTTTGACAGTCTAGTTGGGGCAGGAGGCCCTGACGGTGGTGGAGCCGTCGCTTTTTGAAGCGACTGGCTAACCGGAGTCTTCTTGCTACGGTTTCCTCCCGTTCGTCCTCGGCCACGACGAGTGTTCTCGTACTCTCTGTAGTCCTGGCGAGGTTGAGGCTCGTACGTCTGGTACTGGGCGTCAGCGTACTGACGGTTGTGTTGTTGGGGATCAGAGTGGGCTCCTCTTTGTCCTCCAAAACCGCGCTGCGTGCCACGGTTCATCTTGCTTCTACTTAAAGGCTTCAAAACAAGGAAAAGGTTTCTTTTTAAATAAAAAGTCGCTATCCAGCTATCACAAGTCTGTGTTGGGTTTGACCAACTTAACAAAATAAAATTGGGCGCCACAAAGTTTACCAATTTGATCGGCAATAAGAGGCAGTACTGTATTATTGTTTAATTCGCGATAATTTATGTAAAAACGATCAGATCTATCTTTCTTTTTAACTAATAAGATTTGGTTAGCAAAAGTAAATACTGGGCCGAATAATACGAGCCTTTTACAATTTGTTTATTTTATTCTTTACTATTTGTCGCTTATCTGAACTTAAACAATATGACCGTCTCTGAAAAGTTATAATAGTATTAATTAGACGTATTTTAATCTCATCGGTGGCAATCTTAGTAAATTATAGACAATAAAAACAATACATCCAAAAGACAAAACCTTAGTAAAACTACAAATCTAGGATAATATTCCAATTAATTTTAAAACTATTGGACGTCAGGTTAACATGAAAACCTTGACAAATAATTTCACAGCCAATCGTAGATGAAATGACATTACAACATCACTTTGCAATTAAGCATGAAATATAGTTTCTAAGGTATAATTGTTAATGACTATTTTAAACAGTATTTGCAGAGTGCTATGAATAGTAGTGTTCCCAATGCCTCTCAAAACAATAAAATTCCTAATCCTGAGAACTTGGAGGTTACAATTTCTTTAATAAGCGAATAGCGGTAAACAAGTCAAAACAGAATGAATACGACTCACCAGATTGAATAAGCGAGCCGGTTGGCTTGACCACTCTTACCCTTTTGTCTCCGGTCGTATTTTCTTAAATACCTTTAAAATATGACCCACTGGTGGCTAAAGGGCACTTTAACGCAATATAACCGGAAGCACAACACCTGATGCACCTTACAACAGATTTATTTAAGGCGATGCACTAGCACTGGACTGATGGATTCCAGATGTGTTTTCGCTTTCGTTAATTCTAAAACGGCATTCACTTATTTTATGACCCACTTTTCCACAAAACTGACACTTTATTGTAGTTGATGATTTATGTCCTTTTGCATAAGATGAGGTAGAATCTTCTTAAGTTAAAGCGGCTTTTCGCTTACCATACGAGAATGCCTTTAACTCACTTTGCAATTGAGCCCTGGTTTTTATGCTGGTGGTGAATAATAATCGCTTAAGTCGATTATCAAATTGGGCCATGTGTGCTAATACGGCCGACACCGTTATTTCTTCGATGCTCATTGACTTCCATCTGGACGTAAATATGTCATGAGGCGGCTATTATAGGACAAAATACATTCACTTTCTTTAGGACGACCGTTGAACATATTAATTAAAGTGGCAGCCGAACTTCCAATGGATTTTTGGATAAACACATATCAACAGTAGAACACCAGGAAATAAGGTCAGCACTTGGATCCTCCGGGTTAAACTTCGGTAATGATACTCTGGGTACACTGGTGTAGTTTTAATTGCACTTATTAATTCCATCATATTTTGGTTTTGATGTTCCAAAAAAAAGGCACTATTGTTTCTGTGATACTCCAGGCTCTGGAGTCGATCTCACTTCTGATGTCGAATGGGTGTTTTTCGGGGCCGCGATACTTGGACTTGGACATCATTCACAACAATCAAACACTGATTCTCGACAATTAGTACATTTAATTACGAATATCTAACTAGACAAAACGATATACGCTAAAGATTATACGCACAAAGTAAATTAAAGTATGAAACTAACGATTGTAACGAATCCGCGGTCTCCGGGTTTACACACGTCTTTACTGTCTTATTGCCCGATTAAGAATGGCCATCCAACCCCCCGAGGGTTGGTACATATCCACCTTTTTGGATCTTTATCTCTACGTTCCCACGAGACCGTGGCTACGTATGGTGATCGTTAGTCATCACCTTCACTAATGCATCCTTATCGGACTGCAGACATAATAACTGTTCCTCTAAAATCTATTTCTTAAGTCTTATTTATGATAAACAGCATTGCTTATTTTACCAAATTGTTATTTATAAACATGCTATACAAATTAATGTCTATTCTCCGACATAATAAACAAAAAGTTACAATTTTATTTTTTTCCCTCATTATTACATTTTTTAAATTTTCTTAACCATAACAATCTTAATTTTTTTTGTTCATTATATAAATTATTTAATTTTATATTTTCCCATTGCAAATCTTGTATTGTTTCGTTTAAATTTTTAATTATTTCTAAATTACTTTGTAAATCTAATTTTAACATACTTATTCTAACATTTTCTTCCTCGAGTCCTTTCACTTTAACATAACACTCCTTAACTAAATCCTTCGCACTCAACACTTGTCCATTACACTCTTCTACAAATTGTTCTTCCATAATTTCCACAGTCAATTTGCATTTTTCTTCCTCTCTATTTAAATTGTTTTCTAATTCGTCAATTTCTTTGCGCATTTCCTGATTTTCCAAACTTAGCCTGTGGTTTTCCTTATTGCAAAAAGCAATTTTAATAATCAAAATTTATCTGCAAGCTGCCACCACATCGTCTGGATAAATTAGTTTTATGGGTTAATTGGTCTATTGGTGCCAAACTAACCATTTTTATTATACACAACATTGTAATAAAACTTGTAAAAAACATTTTTTTTTAATTAACTTCACAACAAAAATTAAAAACAAGTTGACAAAAGTTTCTTGTAAAATAAAATTAAATTATAATTTTAAAAAGTTTTATATGAAAATAATTGTCATGTCAGCATTTATTTTTATCATTAAACACATGTTAACAAGAAATTATCATTAAACACATGTTAACAAGAAAAGTTATGTATCATTAATGGCGTCTGCTATAGGATTAAATATAAAACTTCGTACCAGTAATTCTTCATATGAGTCTGCTGCTGATAAACCTATGATTTCTACTAAATGTACAGAATTTGATGAAGATTCCTATTTGAATAAATTATATTTAGAGGATACTTATTGTTCTATGGGTATTCCTCGCTCAAATTCAAATTACTTGTGTATTTTTGAAAATTTAGATACTGCTCCCGCTGTCTCAAATAAAAGTATAAAATATCCTGTTCATGCGAATGGCCCTCCAGCATTAGAAAAATATCTAAAGCGATATCACGTTACCTCGCATATTGGTCAAACCATTTTAGATTACAATTATGAACCTACATATGCACCTATTACTAAAACTGCTTGTCTTGATATAAATAATGGAGCCGATGTAATTTACCTAGAAAATCGAGATGTTGGAGTATTGAGTAGAGGAGTTCAACAACGAGATGATGGAGGTTGTGATATGTCTGCATCTACAAAAAGTATGACTGCTACATACACAACTGGTTTTACTCAAAAATACAGTCAACCATTGGAGAAGCCATATTACATTAGACCAGGTTCTAGTGCAAATACTAAAAAAACTCAACCACAAGTACATTTAGGTTTATTGCCTACACCAAAAATAAATCCAGCTACTAAAACAACAGACATACAAAATTCTTCTTTATATTATGAAGTTGTATTTACTATGGAAACAGAATCTAGAATAGATTCCTTATATCCAAACTCGAATTGTGTACATGGACCATGGGATGAAGCTACTTTTATTGCTAATAAACATGTTGTTTATAAAGGTGGTGCTCCTACATTATTAGGGTTTAACGATAGGGGATTAAGTGCATAAATAAAAAATATTGTAATGGAATATATTTTATTAGAATAAATTTAAGTCTTCTTCCATAAGTGTTTCTTTTTCCCACAAATTAGGTGAATATTAATTCGTTCAAAACAAATACTGAATTATCCAAATCGTAATAATATTCAGCTACTTCTCCATTTGCAGCATTATATATAGGAGTACAATTATTAACATAATTAAATATTTGTTTCAAACTCATGTCAACAAACATTTTTCCAAATATTTCTATTCACTTTGCGTTACGATGTAATTTCATGTTCCAAAAAACAAAATAACTTTCATAAAATAATGTAGTTGATAAAACATTTAGTAAGGGGCTTGACGGGTGTTTCCGTAACCACTCGAGGAACCTATTTTCTTTCTTTCGACTTTGTTGCCCGGTTGACTTTTTATTAATTTTCCCGCTTGCACTAGTAATTGATCCAGAGTCATCTTCAAAGGATCCACACACGAAGGGATCGTGAATATCGCCTTCGTCGATGCATGTCTCCACCACTCCTGTTTCGGCAGCTCGCATATTTTGTTGGACGGGTATACCTCCAACTTGACGGTCTCGTTACCAGATGGACTTTCCACATTTAATGAATAGAGGGTGTCGTTCTTCCTTTTCTGTATATAACAAGAGGTTGTGCCAGTGTTCGAGTCCAACTCGGAAAGTCCAAAAAGATTTTATTTATTTTATTTATTGTCATTGAAGGAACAGTCGTGGACGCAATGGAGGTGGTCTCGGTGAAAGAAGAGCAATTCGACCTTCGCCATTGATCTTTGTTCAAGTGCTCTTCTAACATGTCCAAAGCACTTTGTTTCACTTTTAAAGAATACAACTTCGTGAAGTATTCTTCTTTTTTTAACAGTTCGGTGAAGTTCTCGAACGTTATCTGAGAATCCAATTCTATTTTCTCCTTCTTCATTGTCTTCATTAATTTCTTCAAAACTGCTGATATCGCCAACCACACTTTTTTCGCTGATAGTTCTTAAGGAAAGGAGCAGGATTCTATGTATATTTTATCATTCGAGTTCTAAAGGCAATATCTTTAGGAAAAGGATCGTTGTTTGATGTAATAATAATTGGTGTTCTCATTACAACTCTGTCAGATTCATATTTAACTTTTACACTACAAGGATCTCCCCAAAACAACATTTTTAATGTTTCAAAAGCTGCTGGCTCACAGTTGGGTTTATTCCACATCAAAACACGTCTGTTAACGCATTCCATCAAAGGGAAATTATCATATTTGTTAAAATTATGAATTTGACCATAGTTGTAATAATAATGTATAACACAATCAAAAAAATAGTTTTTCCCAGCATTTGGAGGAGAATGTACAAAGAAGGTGTTACATTTTGGTTTTAACTTATCTATAATTATAAATAAATCTAATAAAAATTGTTGAACAGCATTATCGTCATTTTGAAATTGAAATTTTAACAGTTCTACTAAGATATTTACACTTGTATGTTCGTCATAATAGAATTCAGCTACATTTCCATTATTAGCATGCCATAACGGCGTATTGTCCACAAATTTTTTACCATAACTTTCGAAAGTTTTTTTATTTTTATATTTTGTCATATTCCAATATACAAACTGAGATTCGTAAAATTGATTGGACTGAAATATATTTAGTATGGGGCTGCTCGGGAAGCGCCGGAACCACTCCAACAGCGCTTCTTGTCCACTTTGGCGTCGTGTTGTTGAAGTTGTTGACCGGCTTGTAGCAAGAGCTTCTGTAGATTCATTCTCATCGGATCGACAGGCGGCACTACTTCGTAACCACACGGTACGTCCGCTCTTAGCGTAGACAGTATGTCTTGATTCTAAAAAAGACTATTTAATAAGTAATAATTAGTTAACTTAAAATATACCTTTCTCACAATATTGCATGAGATTGTGCCAGTACTTGAGGGATAATCTGTGAGTCCAAGTATTTTTCCTAATGCTACGTCTGGATCCTCGCAGGAACTTGTACTTGGAACAGCGACATTTGGAGTCTGAGTAGGAGCAATCGTGGACGGCGTGCAAATGGTCTCGGTGCCAGGAGAAGAGTTCGACATTCGCCATGCATTTGATGTCAAGAGCTCTTCTAACATGCCCGTAGCACTCTCCGGCACTTTTAAAGTAAATAATTTGGTGAAGCAACCTTCGCTTTTTAAAAGTTTGATGAAAGGCTCGAACGCTATCGGAGAATCCAGTTTCACTCCAGCTTTCTTCATCGCTTTCATTATCGTCTTGATCATTTGAGAATAAGTTGTCCATACTTTTTTGCGTGCTAACTCCTTTCGGTCGATGCACAGGTTGATCAATTGTCGAAGAAGTACATGGAGCATCATTATGGTAGTGTCGTCTGTCCAATGTAGTTCGAACATCTGGAAGATGGAATTCTCCCCCAAGTCTTCGCATAAGATATCTTGCGTGGTCATCGTAATATAATTCGGAATCAGACGAACTATTCATATACTAGAAGGGTCTCGAATAGGTCCGTGAAAGTCTTGTGGTATATGAAGATAAGAAGTATAAATATATTTTTCTTGACGAGAAGTTAAACACAAAAAATGATAATATAAGTAAAAATATTCAAAATTACACTGCTTCTCCTCCCAAGTTTCCCACATTCATTCGTTAATATTTGTTTCGTAAAAGCACCAAATTAAATATTGTTGTTCTTGCCTTATAATTGGAAGTCTATTGTCTACTTCAGCTCTAAATTCTCCAACACGAAGTTCAAAATCTTCGTCTAACCGTAACTCCAACAAATAATCTGAAGTGTCACTGTCGTAATCGTCTTCTGAATCACTTAAATCCACATTGGTCGTTCCCTTCGTTAAATAGTCTTCTTGTAATATTATTTTCTCGATATCCGCACATAACTAATGGTGGTAATAAACATACCAATTTATATATAATATAAATTCCAGCAGACATGGAGTGTCAGAATCATACTGAATTTGTTTGTCTTCCTCAGATAAATCTGGGTACAATTCCTCTTCCCATGGATTTATTTGAAATTCACATGTATTCAAATAATTGAGATAGGAATGTTTCAAATCAAAGCCAAAAGTTTCTTGAACATATTTAACTAAGTCCTGATACATCGCGTACAATGGAGTTAGCGATCGGGGAACCGAGTCAATCACGCGTTTCATTAATAGCTTATTAAAAGGTGATAATGCATTATAGCTTTTTATAGCTAGTATTTTAGGTACGTTATTTAACATATTAGTGATGCTAATATGCAACTCCTGTCATCAAAGAGTTAAAAATAGGTAAACACCTCCCTTACGAAAGCCAGACACTAACAAATATGGTTGAGTTTCTTGCCAAATTTTGGAAACAAGTCAAAGAGTTAAAAATAGGTAAACACCTCCCTTACGAAAGCCAGACACTAACAAATATGGTTGAGTTTCTTGCCAAATTTTGGAAACAAGTATGGAAAATTCCTTGGGTATTTTCTGGCCAACATGTTTTCGTTGATATTCTGTCAACTTTGCATCCCAACGTGACTTCAGGGTCTTAAAAACTGCTCCATAAAGTCCATAGGCTGAAGTAGATGGCTGGAGTGTGGGGGTAGTTTAAGTATGATAACGCCGTTTTGAATTGCTTCATTAATCATCTTGATGTCTAAATGGGTTGAGTGGCCATCATACAAGAGAAGAATTGGCCTTTCAGGTACGACATTGGAAATAAAAGTTTTAAGAAAATAGTTATTGAAAATGTCTGTCTCCATCCAACCATTGGGAGACGCAGCGTAAGAAGTGCCGGGAAAGGTGTTTTCGTCTGGAGCCATCCCCTTTAAACACAATTAAAGGGGGTAATTTATCCCCATTTGCGTTCCCACCCCTAAGAACCGTCGTACTTTCTCTTCCTGGTCCAGATGTAATCCTTGAAGATGGAGCATTTTTCTGCCCGACAACTTTAGTCTTACTAGGATCGATTGTGAAGCTGGTCTCGTCAATATTATAAATTTGTCGAGGCTTGTCTCGCAGTTGTTCTTTGTCCAGCGTTTGTTCCAAGATATTAAAATATTCTTCCATAATAAACGGGTAGTTTGCTTTTTTTCTAGCATATTCGAGTTGTTGCGGTTTTTTTAAGGACAGGTTGTGCCTTTGTTTAAAGCCTAAGAATCAGTCCTCCCCTGGTATACCATTTTTGAATGGCGTCTTTATTTTGTTTGACGTAACATACTTTCCAACCACTTCAATGATTTTTTTTCTGCTTAACCCCCAACCCCATTTCTCCATGGTTTTAATTCCTTTAGCTAAAATTGCTTCATCATCCAACGGTTCTAAAATAGGACAGGCACAACCATATTTGCTTTTATTATTTACAAACTTATTGATTATGAAACAAATATTATTTTCGTGATAACACGACGCAATAAATTGTAAATAGACATTCTGATATATTTGAGTTAAATTGGGTATATGTAAATAAGCCTGAGAAGCTTTTACCTGTAAAGTTTCTTGCAAACTACGTTTACCCAATTGCATTTGAGTGTTTAGAAATATTACTAATTCATTACTTGAAATAATATTTGTTATTTTTTGTTCTACATTTTGTCTTTTAGGAAAGCTATTTTCATCGAAAATATGACTTCTATCAAAATTTATAAACATAGTTATTATTTTTTCACTAGTGCCAATAACACATATAGGATTTTTTTTAAATAATTTTAACATGACGCAGTAGATTTAATGCGCTAATCAGTAATTTGTACGGTACATTGTATATTTCTACTTTCATCTAAAAGGTACTCAAAATTTCTAATAGATAATTTAATGCTTAAAATGTCATAAATATTTTTAATCATTTTCTTATCTACTGTTTTATAATAAAAGCAAGTTAAATGTGCATGAACTCCTCGCATATTTGAATTTTCAACTACAACTAATATTTCAACATCATCGTCAAGTTCTGTGACGCTTTTTTTAATAAGCCGATTTAAATATTCAACGAATAAATACAATGAGTTAATGAAATTATAATGTAAGCTAATCGGATCAATCATTACCACAAAAGAGTGCGCAAATTTACAATTATAAAATTTAGTAAGTGTAGCGTTGTTAAGGGAATGAGGTCTTAAATATGGCCATATTCCTTCATCATTTTGAGCTTGAAAATATTCAAATTTATTAATTAACAAAGTTGCTTTATCATAATTTTCCATTAATACACTAATTTGTGGATCTGTATCATTGGTGAAAAAATAAATATTCGAAGTGTTAGTGGTAGAAGAACTCTGCATGTTTTACTCGAAGAACTTTCGCTTTTTAGTGCCTGTTGAAGAAGTAGATGCATTATTATTATAAAGTGCAGCTCGTTCTGCTTCTTTTAATATTTCGCTATTCCAAGAAATACCCCAGTCTTCTTGAGATATTAATATTTTAAACATGGTTTCAATGGTTTGCTCAATTTTTGAATCGTCATTAAAGTAAAGGAGAAAACAGCTTTTTTATGGATTTCTTGAATTTAGTTTTAGAAGAATGCTTTTTGAACCTCTAGTACCACGTAAACGTTTTTAGAGGGTGGAAAATGGGATATTGTATCTCTTTGAAGCACTTCGAATGCTGCAATGTCCTTGTTCTATGTTCCTCAGTACTTCTTTTAGCTGTTCAGCGCTGTAAGAAGGGTCTGGTTTTTTTTCTTGTAATTTCTCACCATTGTATTGATCACTAATAACTACTTTGCTAGGTATTTGGTAAGTTTTTACAATAGTTTTTAAGTTTTTTTACACTGTTTTATAGTCTTTCTTCATTAAAAATCTGAAGCAAACAAAAAGATGGCCTCAAAGTCATCGAAGAGAGGAGCGATAGCAATCAAATCATTAAAGCGCATCCTCTGCAAGTCTCTCCTTTCAAAACAAAAATCAAAAATCTTCTTGGCAATCTTGTTAGACAGAATCGACTCAATAACCAACTTAATAATTCTAGTATTCACAAAAATGTTCTCTCTCCCATCTCTGTTGATCCAGTCACGAGTGGTAATGCATAAACTAAAAATTCGCTGAAGTTCAGCACTCGTGCTACTTTCACATATAGGCTGCCTTAATACCAACGGATTCGGAGCAAAATGCACAGGCATCCTCAAGAAAAACTTATAAACCGAGTCACATGAAATAGACAGTCGTATAGGAGTATTAGTGGACAAATTCATGCCACCACCTCCAAAGAGCGGAATCATTTCGTTTCTTCTCATATCGCTCAATCTGAACCCACATTCACCATAGTGGAATATATGTCTATTAAGATTCATTAGTGATGAAACATATTTAGCGCGGTTATATATGAAGATCCTTCTCATAGTAATCGCTTCTTTCTTTGAGCCGGCATTCTGCAAATTTGTCAAAATTTGGTCTACGATAGGTGGGTTGTTAATATCTGCAGCTTCGACTATCCTATCCATATTTAACAAAACATCAATTCCGCCGTATAAAGGTAAGTGATTTATTCCATCGTATAAAGGATTGGGAATCAGTACAGAAGCGTTCACTCCCGCATTGATCCACCCACTCCCATCATTCTCTTGCGTGCTCAAATCGTTCCAGAGCTGTGGATTTGGCATTCTGCTCTCGACATTGAGAGGTTCACCGGCATGTGTCACATACCCCATATCAGCTAGCATCCAACCTATTCGTATATCCGCAGCGAGGGCGGAATCTCTAGAAATATTCTGAAATCCAGGTGAAGTCGAAAACAATAATTTAGCACACAAACAAATAAAACCATCGAGGTATACGTTATTGCTCTTCTCAAACATGATATCTATCATCACCTGGCCCGGAAACAGCAAAGCGATCAGAATTCGTCTAAAATCTTCATAATTCCTTTCATTTTCTGGAGCTATAATAACTTCATTTAATGGTTCAGCTCGATTTACGTTAGTTTGCATCGTTTGAGTAAGCTGGGTAATATCCAATTCCGACAAAGTGCAATTAGGCACACAAAATGAGGAAGCATATCCAACTGATAATTGGTTGAAATTAGGTATCTGGTCAGTCAATCTAGGCAATAATCGCGGTGCTGAATGGGTGCCCCAATGTACTCTGTTCTCTCCATATATACTGCGTGCCAAAAAAAACGCAACACCTAGATGGAATTGATTTATTCCAATTTTTATTTTACTAAAATGTTAACCTTTTACAAATTTATAATTGATCAAAGATTTAAACAAAAATCCCAAAGTATAAAGTCTCAGATATTAATAATGGGTTGGACCCCCTCCTTGCTGTAGACACTCATTGACGCGTCGTGGCATAGATCTAATGAGATTATCTACGTTTTCTTGGGGTATTTCATCCCAGGCCATTTGTATCTGACGTCTAAGTTCATTTAGAGTCTGTGCAGGGCGCTGTAAATTCCTTAGTCGTCGTCCCATCATATCCCACACATGTTCGATTGGGGAAAGGTCTGGAGATCTGGGTGGCCAAGGCAGTAAATTCACATCAGAGGCTTCTAAAAAGTTAAATGTGTTTCTGGCAATATGTGGACGGGCATTGTCTTGCTGAAAAATTAGTCGTTGATTCCTTCTTATGTATGGAAGAAGATAAGGCTCCAAAACTTCATCAACGTATCTCTGGGACGTCATATTGCCTCTTATAAAAACTAAAGGTGACCTACTGCCATAAGCAATAGCACCCCATACCATTAAACCCATAGTGTGGTGAACATGCCTCTCTATAGCAAAGCGAGGATTACGCCAGTAGTTATACTATGTATGTTCTGCATCAGCTGCAGCTGCGGCTGCTCAGCTGCGGACGGCAAACGTATAGGACGACAAAAAGCCCCGCCCCTCAGCTGCGGTGGAGGCAGGGACTATTCCAAAAATTCATATCAGATAAAAAACAAAATGGCCGCCTTGCGTATCTTATTGGTTGGGGGCCTAATCGGCCTACCCACTTTTATGGGGGAGCTGCGGTGGAGGCAGGGGCTATTTAAAATTCATATCAGATAAAAAACAAAAAATGGCCGCCTTGGGTTATCAGCAGGTGATTGGATGGTCAGCCTTGGTTTGGCAGCTATTTTGAATAACTAACCTTACTTACCTATATTTTTTAATTAGTTTTATCTTTAAAAAAAATATATTTAAAATACTGAAAGTGCGCGCATTCAATAGGGGTTGCTCAATAAACATTAAAGAAAAAAAAACAAAAAAAAAATAATTTTTTTTATTATCACAAAATTGTTATCTTTATTATTATAAACTGCACGCTCCTGCAATTGCGATGGTGGTGGGTAATTTTGTATTACCCACGCTGGCGGCAGTTGTGGTTGCGTCAGCAATTGCAGGGGCGGCAGTTCTGGTGGTTGTGGGGATTGCGCTGTCAGGTCCATAGTTTCTCTAAACAAAAATATAAAAATTAAAAAAATTAAATAAAAAAAAAATTTATAATATATTACATCCGTTCATTAACCTTCAGCTCCGGTCCGGTCAGGTCCACAGTTTCTCTAAACAAAAAACATAAAAATTAAAAAATTAAATAAAAAATGTTGTATAATATATTACATCAGTTCATTAACCTTCAGCTCCAATCAGCGTTGCCGCACTGAAATTATCAATTACCCACGCCACTATGACAGAATACCCGGTTTTACCCCCACTTTAACATGAAAATCCCCATAAAATTACCCGTCCGAATACGTGGCTTGTTTTTAAAAAAAAAGAGGTCAAATTTTTATTAATAGTAAATATTAGCCTAATACTATTAGGTAGGAACTTTATTAATACATAGATATGCTTACTTTATTAATAAATAGTAAATGAACCTCCTCTCAGGGATTAAGTACTTTATTTTTTCCGTAAATAAGAATTTAACATTTTGTTTGATGGTTCAAATCTGACAGGACCTCCTGCCTCTTGGACCCCCTCTTTTGTGTGTAATAATGCGGCGATTGTGTAGGTGTTCAGTCTGTTTCTGTTATAAATAAAATACCCGTTGACTGTCAATCTAAGGTCAAGGACATGCGCAATATAAAATAAAGACGTATAGCGCCATCTATTAGGTAACTGTATAAACCCAGTCAACAAAATGGTCAAAATGAACTTTGACATTTTCATTTTCGCAGAAATAGCGTAGGTCGAATGGTTGAATTTTAATTTTAAAGTTTTATTTTTTGCTGTTGGTTCTACAATTTTTATTTTTTCAAATTTGGGTCAAAGGGTTAAAATCCCCGGTTTTACCCGTTTAATTATTTTACCCGGCACATACTCCAAAATACCCGAATTTTCGGTAAAATACCCGGCAACGGCAACTCTGGCTCCAATTCCGGCTGCGTCAGGTCCACAGTTTCTCTAAACATGATAACTTTATCAGATTCATATTTTATTTTTGCAGGGCATGGATCACCTCCAAACAACATTTTTAAAGTTTCAAAAGAAGCTGGTTCACAACTAGGTTCATTCCAATAATTAATCCTACGATTCCAACATTCCATTAATGGAAATTGATCGTATTTATTAAAATTATGCACTTGACCAAAATTAAAATAAAAATGAATAACAGCATCCATGAAATAATTTTTACCAGAGTTTGGCGGACCTAATAAAAAAAAACAATTCACCTTACTAACTAACTTATCTACTACATTATATAAATCCACTAAAAATAATTGAATATTATTATAATCTGAATCAAATTGAAATTTTAATAAAGAATTTAATATATATATATAGATGTTTCTAAATCATAATAATATTCGGCAACTTCACCATTATTAGCATGATATAGAGGTTTACATTTACTAGCATAATTAAATATTTCTCTAGTTGACATATCTGCAAACGATTTAGCAAAAATTTCGAAACATTTATTATTTTTGTATAATTTCATATTCCAAAATACGAATTTACTATTGTAAAATTGAGTTGTTGTCAAAATGTTTAGTATGGGGCTTGTCGGTTGTTCCCGTAACCACGCGATGAGTTTGTTTTCTTTCGATCCACTTTTGACGTTGGATTGTCCTTCAATGTTTTGCCCGCTGCTATTACTAGTTTGTCCACCATCATTTTCATTGGGTCCACATTTGAAGGGATCGGGAAAATTGCCCTCGTCTTCGCGTATCTCCACCATTCCTGTTTCGGCAAATCCATAATTTCTGCACTTGGATAAACCTCCAATTTCACTACTTCGTACCCAGATGGACTTTCTGCATTTAAGGAATACAATGTTTCGTTCCTCTTTTTCTTAATAAACGAGGAGATTGTTCCAGTACTCGATTCCAAGTCTGAAATTCCAAAAAGTTTTTCTATTGAATCTCCTGTCACTTCGTAATTGCTGGTAGCCGACATTTGCACTTTGAGTCGCAGTAGGAGCAGTCGTGAATGCAGTGGAGGTGGTCTCTATGCCAGAAGAGCAATTCGATGTTAGCCATTGATCTTGTTTTAATGCATTCTCTAACATGTCTATTGCAGATTTCTTTGCTTTTAAGTAAATAATTTCATGAATAATTCTTCGCTTTTTAATAATTCGATGAATTTTTCGAACGTAATTGGAGAATCTAGCGGGATTTGTTGCTTTTTCATTATTTTCATCACTTTCTTCACTGTCGTTGAAATAGTCACCCACATTTTTTTGGCTGTCAAATCTTTCGTTTCTATTGCTGTGTTTACTAGACACCGAAGAAGAACATGAAGACAAAGCATGCTCGTTTCTTCGTTCCAATGTAATTCCATCAACTGTAGAATTTGACTGGCCTCCTCCAAGTCCTCGCACAATAGCTCTTGGGTAGTCATCTCCAAATAATTCCTCAAAACTGCTACAATCACTGTCGCTCATAAAATGTAACTATTTGCTTTACTCGCGGTATTAAACGTGTAAAAAGTATTTGTGCTTGCCACTCTTCAAGATTACCAGAATAAAATGAGTCTACAATTTTTAAAAATCGATAATAAAAATGGCACTGATCTTGAAAATCACGAAAATGTTCACAAAACGGAGCACAATACTTAAAGTTCCAACAATTCAAAATGCTATTCCAATCTTCTTCAGCTTGTCTTGGGTAAAACTCTAACCAATTTGTAAATTCTATCAGCACCAAATCTATACTGTCCCACTGGTCTTCAGTTAGTTCTGGTTCACTTGGCACAGGCATAATGGTGGTAAACGAACATTCCCTTCTGTTTTATAACAGAAATACGGGTACGGGTGGTGGGTACAGTACGCGTCGACGCGACATTGAATTTGACTTTCAAAAATTTTTGAAGTCCGGGTACGTGTGGTACGTGTGTGGTGTCATGATCATGATTCATAATTCATGGCCCTCCGGGCCGAATTGAATCGATCAATGAGGAAATGAAAAAGAACCGAAAATTAATGTGACATGTAGACAAAAAACAATATAAATGAAAATGTGATATTTGTATTTATACGGGTTATTTAAACACACACAACAGCGGCTTCCTGTCGAATTATAGGGTTACCCACAACCTCAAAAATATCCTCATCGTCTTCATCTGTAGTGTTGTCATCTAGCAATACTAAAAAATAAAAATATACCAAATTTTTTTTACCATCAATTGATTTAAAATATATTGAATTAAGTAATTATAATTATTGTTAAGACTACTCTCGGTTTTGCGAAACCATGGTGTAATTACCATATTCTATAATGTTTTCTTGACGATGGGCAGGTGCAGCGTCAAGTTCAAGAACGACAACCTCATCTAACAAACCGGGAAAGCCGTCCTCAGGATTAATTTCTAAAATTCATTTTTTATCAATCACTTATTTCATAGTGATGTAAATATATACCTGGTAAACTGAAAGGCCGAAGAAATCTTTCCAGGCTATCAACTCCATGCGCTGCATACCTTAAGAAGGATAGAAGGTTTCCCCCTTCCTCCAGCATATCCTGGGCCCTGGCTATTCGTTGGTCTTGACGGACATACCGCCTTCTTCTATAGCCAGGGAGTACCATTTTCCAAGCGTACAAACTGAATAGCCTTGCTATTTTCCGCCTTCCGGAGATAATTTATAAAATGCCAACAATTTGGGTGTTGTCTTCCCATTATACGGAACAGATCGCGGTGAAAACTTTCCACCAAATTGTTGGTCCTTCTGTCCTCCCTCCAAATGGAAACGTCCCTGGGAAGCCAATATATTCTGATATAGTTCATAAACTCTACAGACCCAGGCACATTTAAATTTTGCAACACCCAAACGCCGTCCTGCAAGCGGGCTGCAGGCAGCAGAGGAAGAGCCATTGCCATCTTCACTAGGGCCCTTTTTTCATCATTTGCAGGGTACTAAAAATTGTTTTAATGTAGCCATTTATTTATTTAAAGGTGGAATAATTTACTTGAAGGCCTAATGTCCTGGATTTTCTAAATACTGCCTGGCAGTAATGGAACCAACACCCCTTGAGTCTGCAATTGGGCCACACTTCGGCTATGGCTCTCCTTAACCCCTCCTCATAGTCAGTTAAACAATTTACTGGATTTATGTTCGGAATCAAATTTACTATTTGTCTGAACAGGGCTACATATGATGAGGTGTTTTTTCTCTCCATTAGTGCAAACGCGAATGGAAAATCCTACAATTGGTTTGGTATATAAATCTATAATAGCCGTTTATGAAAATCTTACAGTTGAATGTTTAAAAATGAAAATAGTGAGAAGTTGGTACACTCTACCAACCCTAGGGGTGACTTTAAAGGTTCCATCCACATGCAGCGACCCACTGCGCTCAGGAGCACTTGTTACAAGTTGTTCAATGGTTGGAGAAATAAATAGTAACGTATTTCCTCCATTATCATTGGACGGGATTAATTTCCTAAAAAATCTTCTGCCTTCCAGGCCCAATTCATCTGCAAATCTTTGGGACCATCGAAAAATAAACTTCTTAAAATCATAACAGAAAAATTTAAAAAAAAAGAGCATGAACTTAAAGAGGAAGTTAGTTTAGCGCCCATAAGCATGCAACCTCGATTGCAATCGGCAATACAACATTCATGAGTCATTAATCCGATTCATATACAATATCTGTTGTATATGATCCGATTATTTTAACCATTCGACTAACTGAACTCATCACTCCGATTATTTTTAATTCGAATTATATTGATAATCGGATTCTACAGGTTATTTCAATAATCGGATGATGTTATTTATAATTCGAATAATTATTATCCCACCACTAAGTAAAATAAAAGTCAGGTTAATAAAAGTAATATGATTTTTATATGTACCTAGGATCTTCCAACAATTCTGCGAACTGTTCCGTCGTGTGGGGTATCCGCGGAATGGCCAATGCTCGGGATCTATAGATAAGATTTCTGAAATTTTGTAGAGAGCCCGATCTGGCTGCCACCAAGGGAAACCTTATTTCAGCTTCTCTAAAAATTTCGGCGGAACTTAGGCTCTCAGCGTTGAAAGCTCGATCCCTCAAATAGTTCCGGAATCTTAGTTCTTCGATTATTTCCAAAGGGACTTCGTGGTTATGTTCCTGACGTTGAACTGATTATTGTAAACAAAATATTATAAGTGGAACAAAATTGCTAAATAATTATTTGGTATATCTACCTAAAATATTCCCTCTTTTTATTACACGTGCAGGGCAGAATGTAGACCTGTATTCCGCACATTTAAAATAACTATTTAAATTAATTGTCCTGTCCTTAAAATACATATAATTAAGGCCATCTAAATATACCCTATTTCTCGAACTGAAACCAATCATGTGTTCCATTTTGCACCCTAAAAAAAGCAAATAGAGTATTTTCACCCAATTTTTTTGCTAGTAAATTTTTAAGAACCCTAAACTCAGTAAAAATCAAATAATTAAATAGTAAAATGGGCCATTTCAGGCGCAGGAAACGCACGATTCACAAAACTGTTTTTATAAAAAAAATTGTAGTGGATTATTATATATTATTTTTGCATGAAAATTGTCAAAAATATTCTTCTTTTATTAGGCTATACATTAAATAAAAAAACGCAAAAAACATTTTTTAAAAGTAGAGATACTTTAAATAATAGACAGGTATGGACGGGAAAAAAAAAGATTTCTCTTGTCCACACCTGTCAATTATTGAAATTATCTCTACTTTTATAAAATATTTCATGCGTTTTTTTTAATTTAATGTATAGCCTAATAAAAGGAGAATATGTTTGACAATTTTCATGCAAAAATAATTTATAATAAATTACCTACAATTATTTTTATAAAAACAGTTTTGTGATTTGTCCCGTCCATCAGCTTGAAATGGCCGAAAAAGTTAAATTTAAAACTTAAGACCTGAATTACTTGGTCACTTTTTCATTTGGAATTTTTTTAACATTTTTTCCTACCTATATTAAGGCCCCCCTACATGCACCTTTCGGGAAGGTCACCACTTATGACTCACCCTGTATATATACAGTATGTCCCCGGATGGGGTTGCCAATAGGAAAAACTTTTTTATTTCGCGTTTTACAAAAAAAGTCATTCTTCATAAAAACCCCTGCTTATTTAAAAAATGACATCCCCATCAAAAAATTTTAAATCAAATGTACGGGGTGCTCAGAAATTAGAAAAACATGAAAATTCTTCACTTCACTTCACTTCAGATACTTCTCTTTATGAATTATTGTACTGAAAAATTTTATAAAAGAAAGTCGATTACAATTCAAATTAAAGTCTAAACACAAAATATATTTTTTTTATTTAAAAATTTATTTTTTTATTAAAAAATTGTATGTTATTTTTATAAAAAAATTATTTTATTTTATTAAAAGTTTTATAAGTGAAGGTCCATGAAACTTCAATTTAAGTTAAATTAAATTCTAAATACAAAACAAACAAAAAATTATTAAAATATTATGAAAAAAAATTCATAAAATTAAAATATATTTTTTTTAGTTTGTATTTAGATTTTAATTTGAATTGTAGTCAAATTTCTTTTATAAAATTTTTTAATAAAATAATTTATAAAGGTACTTCTCTCTTGAACAATTTTCATGTTTTCTAATTTTTGAGCACCCGGTACATTTAATTCAACATTTTTTTAAGGTGATGTCATTTTTTAAATAAGCAGGGGTTTTTATGAAGAATGACTTATTTCTGTAAAACGCGTAATAAAAAAGTTTTTCCTATTGGCAACCCCATCCGGGGACATACTGTACATATATTATATAAATTATATAAATTTAGACTGCATAAACCATAAGAAATAATAGAATAATCGATAAAAACCAATAGGTAAATAAATAATTTGAAAATGGTAATATTAAACATATAAAATATTAGCATACGGGAAACTCACCTAAATATTCAAAACTTCTTAAATCACCCAAAAGTCACTCTTAAAAATAATCTTTTTAAAAGATCACTGCGACTTTTAGAAATTCTAAATTAGAATCACCCAAAACAAAAGCACATACAAGTCACTCTTAAAAATAATCTTTTTAAAAGATCACTGCGCCTTTTAGAAATTCTAAATTAGAATGAGCTTATATAAAATGCGTTTAATATTTGGGGTCGATTTGTTTATGAAAAGTATGATAGGTCCATTTGAAGTATCAAGTTACCCATGGAAATAATACTAATTCTTTGAAGTTACGTAATCGACGGCTAAACATAAATATAAACATTTTAAGTCTTGGACCATGTTATATCAGCAAAAACAATAACGATAAATTTAGTTTTATATCTAGGCGGCATACGCTGAAAAGATTATTATTCCCAAATAAAGTTCAGAATTTAATTATTTACAAACATAAACAATCCAAGTAATTGTACTAAAAATGCCCAAAACACATTTTGCAATAAGAATTTTTAACAGCCAAAATTGAAGAAAGGCATTTTGCCTAGAAGCCGGTCTCTAGTAATAATACACACTTTGTACAGTAATAAAAGTTTTATTTCATTATTATTATTATTATATAATATATATATAATATTATATTATTAATAATCTACTTATATGTTGTTTTGGTGGTGGAGGACGTTGACTCTGAAACAAAAAATTAACAGATTAGGGAACGTACCCATAGTATGGGTCCCATACTATGTGACCTGTTTAGGGGGGTCTTCAAAACACCACCAGGGTAGTTTTTTTTAAGTAAATATTTAATCAAATGGGGTAGTTCCAATGGGAATATTTAAAAGGTATTCTAGAATATGTAGGCAATTAAAAGTCAAAAGTTGAAAAAGTTTTTTTACCATTATTTTTGTAATTTAAAGTAAAAAATCAAAAAATGAAATGAACTTTCTTTTGTCATGTTGAATAAAAAAACTCACATTCTACAATTTTGACATGTTTTCCACCATTTGGGACCGAAAAAAGAATTTCCCTTTGGAACTACCCCATTTGATAAATTATTTAGTTAAAAAACCACATGATGGGGGTGGATAGTTTTCACAATGATACTTGATATTAATTAGAATTTACTTACCCTTGTAAGTCACCTTACTCTCCTTTGTGCTTTGCTCTTTGGTTTTTTCTCTGTGGAGGCTGTAATAAGAAATAATATCATACCACTGGTTCTACACATTTTTTAATCTTCTTCTTGGGTGTTTAATTTAAATTAAAGTGGTGCAATTTATATTCTACTATAATTTATCGACAAATTTAAAATTGTATTTAAAAAATGTAAATATTACAGATTTTATACCATTTTAAATGTTTTTTAATTTTAATAAAATAAATAATAAAAATTTAAAATCGTATAAAATCTTTAATTTAAATTATCACAAATAGGGGGGCCAGAAAGCGGGTGAGGCGACACGAAAAACTAAGTTTTTTTTTGAAATAAAAAATGTTTTAATAATATTTGGTGAAATAGTAGAATTTGGTACTTACACATTTTTTTAGAGGTTTTGTCCTGTGTTTGAATTTTTTTTGGGTCCTGGAAAAAACGTATAATTTAATTTTAATTATTCTGTACAGGTTTTACAGGCTAAGGTCATTGCAACAATTATTTTTGGAAGAAAAAACATAATAACAATAATAAAATTAATATTCTACATAATTGAAGTTAAAAACCCCCAAATCTAATGTGCATGTAAAAATCAGTTTATTTGAAGAAGGAAAACAGTAACAATTATAAAAATTGTGATAATAAAAACGAGTATAACAATAATAATAATATTAAAAATCTCTATATGCTATAGATGAGTCTAATTCACGTTCTGATGTTTAATGCGTTTTGCGATTTGGGCGTACAATGTCCTGACAATGATAATATATTGACTGTAATCGTTTGAAAATTGTAAGGGGACTGATCGTACTAGCCCAGCATACCCATCGACAGACCCCTCTTTCCCATTGGGCACTTTGGGCAAGTGCCCAGGGCCCCGGGATCGACAGGGGCCCCCCTCAGATCAAATACAATGTAGTTATAATTTGTCAAGAAACTGAAAAATTAACTAGACAAATGTCAAATAAGTTTAAATTTAAAAATAGTGCCATGTATATAAGTAATAAAGTATTGTATAATGTACAGTCGGTATTTTCAAATTCTGCAATGATTGATCATATAAAGAACCAAGATATATTGGACAATCATAGAATTCTTCTGATTAAAAAAATTATTGCTATATTTTTAAGCTCCAGACTAAATTGGGAAGGTAAAAAGGCTTCTGAAAAACCAGAATATGTTAGACAAAAACTACATAAGCTAATTTTATTTAAAAATCAATAAAATATTGTTTTTCTTTATTTATTCGTTATTATTTATTAATAAAATATCCTAATTATTAGAATCATGTTTTTTAGTGTACCTACATATTTGCATATGGTTTATTTTATGTTTGTTTTTATAACTTGTATTATTATTTATAATTTTATTTGTACCAAATATGCTTGAATTAAATTGGGGGTTTAAAAATTAATACTTGTGTTTCTTTTACCTAACTAATTTTAAAATAATATTATATCAATGTAAGTAAATTCACAATCTAGAGTCCCTTTTTTTACAAGTAAGTATACTTATAAATCAACTGCTTATAGAAATGGAAGTATACTATAAAAAGTTAAGTACTTTTGTGGACTTAATACTTATAGTAATATGTAATATCATTTATCTATTCGTTTCATGTGATTGTTAATAAAAATAAATATTTAACCTTGTTTATCTTTCTTTGTCTATTCTAACAAAATAGTGTTCTGTCAAAGTCATAGGGGCCCCATTATCCTAACATGCCCAGGGCCTCCAATAGGTTAAAGACGGCCCTGCCCATCGACTATAATTGAGTCTTTGCAATGTGGATCATTCTTCAAAACTGAAGATGAGCTAGATAGATGTTTTGGCTTAAACATATCCTCTGTGACCTGCTTTGGGCGTGATGCTGCGAGTCCTGTTCTGCGTCGGGGTTTGGGAACAGTGGAAACTGGTTCTTCCTCGATTGGACGTTGTTGTGGCTCTTCTTTTTTTCACGTGGGGGTTTCCCATCACGGCGATTTGAAAATTTATTAAATCTTCTTCTTTGCGACATCTCTTCTTATGCACATTGTGCGATAAACCTTGTGAGTGTTAAACTAACAACCTGAATTTCTCAGTGTAGACAAACCATAAACAATTTAACCAAATGAAAAAGGCGTACGAGTAAATAAACCAAATCAAGCAGGAGAACAAAAAAATTTAGATAATAAAAAAGTGTTGTGTGTGAATAGGTATAATATTGTATATGCATTTAAGATACGACCACGTTTAAATTCAGCAGCCCATTTCTTCACTGTCGAAAATGAAGGGGCAGACTCCTTATAAACCTTTACCAACTTTTCATGAATTTCCGTTGGCGATAAACCGTCCAAAACAAAATTTTTTATGGCACTATACTCCAGTTTATTCATTTCAACGAAACGCGCACAATGTGTTTACTTGAAACAGCCGTAAAAAAAAGCTGTCGGCCGATCACCTTGAAACTTGGTGTGTGTATTTATAACATATGTAGCAATATTCCTGCAAATAAATACATCGATAGCACTGCCCTCTCTTTGTGAGGTCGAGAACTTATCACCCAGCCCTCGTAATACATACAAACTGTTCATTAAAAAATCTTTCCCAATTGTTTGTGTTTATTATAGCCATCCAATCTTCTACTTTGGAAATATATTCTCCAAAATTGAATGAATCTCTATTTATGTCCAAATCAACTATAGTTTCATCCCAACTTTCCAATGCCTCATCAATGTAAGTCCACAACATAGTTCTTTGCAATATTAAGGCTATAAAAACGGTTTTTGGCAACTCTTCAGCTAATTTCCAAAATTCAAAGCCTTTCCTTTCACTATATGCAATAATTTTGTTTTTTGATATTTCAAATAAAGATTTCATGATGTCTCGTCGAGTGGATGTCCTACTCTGCTGGGTGGCCGTTGCGAGCTGTAAAATATTAAATATACCTCAATTTCAAATAATTGTAAATAAATTACCTATTTGGCGGAGAGGGCTCGGGTAATGGCCTTAACTCTCCCGAGGGGGTAAACTCAGGTGTGCGCCCGCGCGGCGAGCTAAAAATAATAAAAATCATAATAATAATTAATTACTCTGTTGGTGTCTCAGGCCTCATTAGGTCGTCTGGGTCATAAGAAATGGGCCTAGAAAATTCAATATGAAATAAAAATAATAAATCATATATAATTACCTATTTGAGATTGGGGGACGGTATAGAGACTGCCTTCTAGGATCGTTGCAAGCTACAAAAATAAAAATATAAAAATATGCATAAATATTTAGATATATAGTTACCTATTATTCCCCATGGTATTGCTGTTATTACCCATGTCCATGGTATTGATCACTCCCCGTCGTGGGTTCATTATTGTAATTCTAAAAATTATTAAAAATTAAAAACTAAAAAGAAAAACCTAATATAAAAATGTATGTGTATTACTTTATTTCAGGAGGGGAATCTGTCCTTGCCCACGTTATGCTCGCTCTAAAAGAACTAAAATTAATAAAAACTTAAAATAAAAAGTTGCATTTTTATAATAAATCTACCACAGCAACACGGAATACTTAGGCATCGCATATAGCCCTCTCTATATACGCGGCTAATATATATATATATATATATATATATATATATATATATATATATATATATACATAGTATACAATCTATCTATATATATATATATATATATATACAGAATGATTCTAGGCATAGACAAATGGAATAACTTACCCTTCTCTGTCAGTTAACTCACTCATTATTTAATTAAAACTAAACAACTTTAATAATCCATACATGAAGAGTGGGGTCGATAGGCTCAGGGAGGAACCACAGGCTATGCCCTCCATACGTCCCCATTCCTATATATGCCCTTAAGGGTGAGGTATATGCTGATGTGGCATACGCGACTCGAATCAACAATTGTTTGTTCTGAAAACCAGAATCGTTAAAAACGTCATCTTCGTTAACTATTCTTATTGTCACGTTTTCATTAATGTAAAAGTTAATTACTCTAAATAACACCCCTCCTAGATAAAAACATATTTTTAAAACGTCACCTTTCCCATAATTTTCGTTTAACTCCACTTCTTCATAAGAAAGATTTTCACACACTTTATATCCAATCTTAACAATCCTCCTATATCTTTTAATTAGTTTTATCTTTAAAAAATATTTTAAACACTGAAAGTCCGCGCACTCAATAGGTGTTGCTCAATTATCGAAACAATAAAAAACATAAAAAAGTAAATTAAAATTTTCTTATTATAAATAAATTAGTATTACTTTTGTTTTTATAAACAACCCGCTCCTGCGACCTGGATGGTGGTGAATAATTTTCCATTACCCATGCAGGTGGCAGGTGCGGGGGTGAGAGTTGTGGGGGCGGCAGTTGCGGGAATGACATATTTTTACAAATTACAATATTTATTAAAAAAATAAAGAAAATAAACATTTTCCATAGTACAATTAAGGTTATTATAAGTATGTTTGTTACAATGGTATGATTTAAAAATATCCCTCATTTTTTCCAAACTGGGACAATTAACCTGAGACTCTTTCAGATTTATAACCGTATTTGAAATAAATTCTTTAAGCCATTTCTTCTTTTGTCCACCCTTAACTATCACTGTTTCAAGGGGTGATGATTTATATAAAATTTAAGAAAATCGGAAACTTTGTCTAATTCAACACATTTTTTCTCATCATCACTAAAGTCGTCTGCTGCTGCATTATTCCAGTATTTAAGGGTTGTGTCGTTGGTTTCCTGTTTGTTGTTGTCATTTTGATTACCATCCCACTCAATACCGTGGATGTTATGCACGGTGTATATTATGTGAGCTTGTAATTTTGAGCTAAATGAATTTACATTAAATGGAAGTTGTACAAACCTATGTACAAATTCCATGGTTTCGGTGTTAAGGATTGAAATTTCCTTGGGCCAAAACGGAAACCCTTCTGAGGGATATTCAAAACCTTGAACATCTAGAACAAACATTTTTCTTTTCTTTATTAGTTTTTAGTTTTAATTCGTTTCAATTCTTGAACGCAACTAGAGTAGTTCCATTCCAACATGAGGTATTTATTGTCTGATGTGTTTGTTATCGTTGGAGGTGGGAGTTGTGGTGATTTTACTTTATATACATAAAAAACTGTTGATTCAGCACATTTAATATAGTGTGGAGATTAAAAAAATTATATTACCAAAGTATATTCATTTTAAATATTTTTATTTTTATAATATATTACTTAATTTGCTCCGCCTGCAAGCATGCAAAACAGGGAAGAAAAAGGTCTTCGCAAAATCTGCACAGCGGCGGTTGCGTGGATGACTCACTGTGCGTTAGGTCCACTGTTTCCCTAAATAGAAAAAAAATATTAAAAAATTAAATAAAAAAAAGTTGGATAATATATTACATATTTTGCTCCACCTCAAAGGTTGCACAACAGAAACAAAAAACATCGTCGCAAAATCTGCACGGTTTCTCACAAAAATGCATTGCTCTGTAAAAAAAATGCATAAATTAAAAAAACTAAGAGTTTTAAACATTAAATATATAACTTACTCCTCTATTGAAATTGGAAGCGGTGGTGGTGTTAAATTGCTAAAAGATGCAAGTAAATAAACGGGTTGTTGTCGTCATATTAAAATTTATAAAACTATGATGCATTTGATTAAAATATTTTTCTTATAAATGTTTTATCTATAGTTCATATTCTAACTTAGAAATATGGATATTAATATAATCATATTGAAGTAATTAAATTTACACATTAAACTGATTAATATTTTAAAGTTAATTTATCCATATCTAATTAAAAAAAAATCATAAATTAAATAATTTAAGTTAACCTGTAGGTCATCTAATAAATAGAAATAAAGGGTCTAAATAAAACGCATAAAATGGAATGGGATGGCGGAATCTTTAATATGAACTGAAAGAACAATCTTTGGCGTTTATTTTTTGAAAATAATTTAATTTAATTGCTGGCCGTGACTACGCTGTAAGTGGTTGGTAAGGTCCAATTTTCGATCACTCTTTCTAGCATTGCGACCGGTATCTGCCCAATTACGCGAGTAATGTTGGCTTCTAAGTCCTGAATCGTAGCTGGCTTATCGACGAAGACTTTTGATTTAACATGACCTTAAAGAAAAAAGTCCAAGGGTGTAATATCACACGATCTAGGCGCCCAATTGACAGGTCCAAAACGCGAAATTATCTGCTCACCAAAATGATTTCTCAATAAAGCTATTGTTTCGCGCGCTGTGTGTGCCGTAGCTCCGTCTTGCTGAAACCAAATGTCGCCGACATCTCGAGCTACAATTTCAGGCAACAAAAAGTCTGTTATCATGGTGCGATAACGGCCGCCATTGACGGTTACGTTCTGTCCGACCTTCTTTTTAAAAAAATAGGGACCGATAATTCCACCAGCCCATAAACCACACCAAACAGTGCATTTTTGTGGATGCAACGGTAGTTCGAGTCTCTTCGGGTTGCTCATCGGTCCAAATACGGCAATTTTGTTTATTGACATATCCATTGAGCCAAATATGTGCTATACAAAATTTGACGATAAAACAGCGGATTAAGCTGTTCCAGAGCCCATTGACTGAAATTAAAGCGTATACAAGAATTGAAGCCACAAGATATCAATGTATACATTGATATCTTGTGGCTTCAATTCTTGAACGAGTTGGATTTTGTAAGCCTTCAAACCAAGGTCCTTTCGTAAAATTTGCCAAGTTGTTGAATACGATAGGCCCAAATGTTAAGATCGGCGTCGAATTGATTGCTGGCGGTCTTCGCTACAGCCACAATATTCTCCTCATTACGGGCTGGATGTAGTCTATTCGGTCGCTTATCATCAAGTAATGTACACTGACAGTCAGTGACTGACCCTCAAATGTGCGGATGGTATTGGCATTAGTGGTCTCGGAAGGTCGATGATGCACACCATACGTTGCTCGAAGTGCACGAAAAACTGAACAATTTGGAGACGCTGTTGCGGTGTAAGTCTGTCCATGGAGAATTGTCAAG